CCTTTTTTTTTTTTTAACGACAACCGAATCCTCTCTTTTTACCAAATGTTTTATGACACTAGTGCTAAGAACTTCTAGAATTTTATCCTTATAAAATCAACATGCGGATGAATTTTAAACTGGCTTGGATATCACACCTTTATATATCCTAGAAGTTGTCGAAACTGTACGTAATCGTAATATCATACTGTACAAAACATTAAAAAAACCATCATTAATCTTCTTGTAAAAGAAGTCCTTAAATATTGACCAGTTGTTATTCGATTTAATCGACATTTCTATTCGAAAACAAACTATTTGTTCCGTCATAAATACATCTTCATCTGGGTCTTTAAAAGAAAAATAATCCCTTAATATTTATTTAGGGTGTAGGTTCCAGTTAACGTGTCCTTGTCTCACTACAGCTAGAAGGCCTTCGGTGATAAGTACATATACACACACACGCGTTTAGAGTGGTGATGGTGAAATCGCGTACTTTTCTTCATTACCGAAAAACAAAAAAAAACCCGGCTAGATAGATAGCGTCGCGTAAACATGTTATATGAATTTCGGCGAAAAGTTTATATCACAAATTCAACATCGTGTTATTTTCTGTAACACGTGCATCAACCATTTCATTATTTAGTGATTGACTAGAACAACAGTAAAATACAAAACAAAACCGAGAATGTAATTTTTACCCATAATTTGCTTTATTGAGCTTCCTATTCCCGTGGTTAGGGGGCGCTCGACTCGCAATCTGCGGGTTCGAATCCCCGTCACACCAAACATGCTCGCCCTTTCAGCTGTGGGGGCGTTCGGTCAATCCCATTATTCTTTGGTAAAAGAGTAGCCCAAGAGTTGGCGGTGGGTGGTGATGACTAGCTTTCCGCGAAATTCAAAACAACCAACCAACTCAAAATAAAACCCAAATATTTATGGATTAACTTTCGCTAGTGTTTTACAGCTCTTTAACTTACACAACTAAGTCATTTGAAACTGTCCAATAAGCTAAATAAGTAAGACAAAGATTTCCTATGGTGCTAAAATAGACAGCTTTGTATATCTTAGTAGTCAGTCGGTTTTATCAATCAATATCTCTCGGGAACTAATGGAACTGTGTTTAAATTGTACGTTCCAGACCATAATGAATCTCTGTTTAAACACCATACACAAAACTACACTTTCCCACCGCAAGAGGAGCTTCAGTTTGTCTTGTTCTGCTGAGAGCTGGAATCCCCCCGAAACCGGTCTTGCGCAGTTACAAGTTGGTGAATTCAATATTAGATTGGTGAGATAACTATTGAATTACTGCTTTGTTTTCGTCCGTTGAAAGTATTCACATTGTTTTATTGTATAACACTGTCATTTCCTATAAATCTAAAAGTCACTGTATATTTTACATATATATTGACATTAGGCCCATACCCATGTAAGGTGACAAAAATGAGAAACTTGTCATTTTACAGGGCGTCGCCAAATTTAGTTACTATGGAAAATCCCCCACCCCCCATTTTTTTACAGGTGCTAATATGTTGACGCTGGGGAATGACTGGACATTTTATACTGTGCCTCGGGTATGTGGGGTTGTAATAGGTTGAGAGATGTCTGTGGTCAAGTGTCTATTGCTGCTTTTCCTCTCAACAAATGTTAACATTATCAAGGACTTTGTACTGGCGAGTCTGGAAGTGCTATTTAAACAGTACTTGGATGGCGTGTGCGTGGTTGAATTTGTGCAGTTGGATTACAATATTTATTTTCAGTGATGGCTCTCATTTCGAGACTCACTGTATATACAAGGAAGCAGCCAAAGAACGTTAGCGATGACGAGACACGTCGTATGTAATTTTCATGTTCATTTCAAGTCTCACATTTAAGTTCTTTGCATACTAGTGGGTTTACTTGACCATTCTTATAGGATCCCATCTAATCGTAACCTGCACTGGTCTCTTTTCCAATTGAACACAACTTCTCATAAATATTATATATAGATCTTCGTGAGGACATTAAAACTGGCTGAAAGATAAAGTGACATGAGAGTAAAAAGTGGGCGGAACTGTGGTTGATGGTGGCAAAGCGGAAAAAGAACAACTGTGTAAAATATGTTGATTAGAAAGTTTGTTCTCCAACTCTGAAATTTGCAACAAAAAAAAAGGTATCAAATTCACCAGCATGAGCAGGCCGAGCCTTCATCGGTATGTGATAAGCATAGAACTGCAACCATTAGGTGTAAGAAATCGAAACAACCAAAGCATTTGTGAAACCAGAAATATTGCTAACGTTCTAGCAGCTGTGATGATATGGGAATCATTTCTGATCTCACGTCATCGTTCCAGGAAAGTTAGCGGTAAGTTGATTAACTATCCAATGTTCTTTGATTTTTAATTTTGCGAGAAAACAGAAGGCTTTTGTACCATAAAAAATCTCTCACACCAGATGGATATTCCCCTGCTTTCTTTCTGAAGTTCAGTTATGTTGCACGCTAATTTATAAAGGCACTAAACTTTAAGGTCAACGGTATTTGTGCATCTTAGTGACGAGGCTGAAATAAAGGGCGTGACACAATTCTACCAACAACAGCGATGAACCAAGGCAAGGAAGGAAACATTGTAAGTGCCATCAATTTTGCCTTTAAGGAAGACGAAGTTCCAAGATGTAATGTCTTCCAATGGTGGATGATGCACTACATCCAATCCATAGCAATGTGAAAGGTGTCATTGCCCAACATGTTGGCTGAACATTCATCCTCTTGTGATTAACATTGGAACTCTGAAAGATTTTTCAAAACACTTGAAAGAAACCATCCGGATGTAGCAAAAAAAGACTGCTGTGCATACCCCCCCCCAAAAAAGACTGCTGTGCATACCCCCCCCCAAAAAAAGAACTAGCTGTGCATACCCCCCCCAAAAAAAAACAACAAACAGCATATTCATCGAAATACTTCTTCTGACAGTATATGTCGCACAGTTACAGATAATTGAAAACCTGCTTGAAGCCACATACACCAAAATCAATTCACTGCACTGAGAAATGCAGTGGCACGGTTTGTTCTAGAAGACGCTACTGCAACCAAGAACTCTTGAAGATTAATTTCAAGAATAACAATTAACTTTCACCCAACAAATCTTGCATCTGGAAATGAAACAATTGCAATTCTGGAGGTTTGAAATATAAAGGATGAAGACACAAGTTCCTTGAAATTGGTCATTATTGAGAACCATCCTCTACTCGCTACTCAAAAATCTGCTTCTTTAAGATCTGCAGTTCCTGCAGCAGAAATGGTTAAGTGTTTCATCAGAGTTTAGGCTACTAGTACCAGACATTGATGTTGATAGAGTGGAGGCAAAAAGGCTTAGCTATGGCCTAGAGAATCTAAAAGAGCGTTGAATGACAGAGCGGCTTGACAGAAAGGGTACTGACAAAAGAATTAACATCACCAGAGAGTGGTCTGTTATAATAAAGATGACGTAAAAATCCCTATTTTCGCTGAGGTGCATTCTTTAGAAATACCGAAACAGTTTCATTCTACAGGCTCTATTTAATGTTTGATGTCTATTAAGACTTTCCAGTAAGTTGGGCCTATATTTAGTTTGCTTATCATACTGTTGTTGTAGACAGCTGAACTGGTTGGTGGCTACAAGACCTTATATCTGCAGTGATACCAATACACTATACTAGTGTAGACAGCTGAACTGGTTGGTGGCTACACCTTGTGTCAGAAGTGTTAGTGATACCAATACACTCATATCTTCAGGATCAGTCTTATGAATCTCCACCTGCTGTTTCAAAATTACCCAACCTCGAGCAATGATTAAAATGGCAATTTGCCAGTCTACATTATCAAACGGCTTTGGTCCAAGAAGGCAGATCTTTAAAACTAACCTTGACCAAATTATGACGTGTATCAGTTTGTAACTAATATATATAAACTCACCTTCACAAGAACTCCTATTTTTTCTCCTTTTATGTAGCTATTTGTCTTTCAATGTGCTTAAGTGAAACTTCAGTTTACACACTTATTACAACTATCAATACAAAATATTGCATATACTCCCTAAACGTGTATTAGTTATCCCGAATCAGTAACTCCTGTAATGTGTTATAATGAAATAATTTCTAAATAATGATAATTTTCAAACTAATCCACATCTCTCACTGTAGAGGTCTGGCAGTGACGTCAAAAGGTCACGTGGTCTATATCTTACTCCGCCATATTTAATGTCGAGTGCTTACATTAGTCTTAGGTGAAAAATGACAAATTTGTATTATAACTTTATGTCATTCGACGCTATAGATCATTTCGGTCATGTGAATCAGGAAAGATATATATCGAGAAACGAAATAGCCGCAGTATTTCGAATTCGTATCTTTTGCCAAATGCAATGTTTACGCCATTGACAACATGTAAAGATTGAACGAATGTTGTATTCATAAGGATTGCTAGAAGGCAATGTGTGACTAACAATATGGCGGCGTTGAATGAAACGTTGAATGAGTTCTGTCACCTCTATAACACACAACACTGTTCTTTCTATTCAACTAGCTTATAGCATGATGAAAGACAGAAAATCATTTGATTATTACAGTGAATAGCTTTCCATATTGACGAATTTCTACAAATCTTTAAATTGTAGCTCCCCCTTGTGGACTTTTAACAAATGTAAGTGAGTTGGCGATAGGCTCTAATCAATCTATTTTTAGCTAGTAAAACCCTTGCGCATCTAGACAAGTCAAATTTCACAAATATTTACATAAATGCGTGGATTGATCGTAACGTTACGTGAGTGGTACGTATAACGTGTTGCTCTGAAGCTTTTATATACGTAGCATTATTAACGTAGTAAATAAGACCGCAACGACTTGGTTATATCCATCCGTACCAGTACAGATCTGTGGTGCAGACCAAAGTTTCTTTTATTGAATGAACAACGAAAGGAACTTGGTAGCACGTCATATACTTTCATATTTTTTGGTAACCAATCATGTCAAGTCAAGTCAACAATAAACTCAAACACGCTCACCTGAGGACACATTTTACACTGGTATTTTCGTCCTGTTCCGTTAGTAGTGGCGTTGTTCGCATTGATGGAGGCGGAGTTTTTCATGGCTGCGTTGATTGGCTGTGGTACAACTAACATGGAGCCACCAGAACTAGGACTGGACACTGGAGGACTACCGCCATTACGATTGCCATGGTTACCATACATGCTATGCATCTGAGGGGATTCCATTGGAGGTGACCGCCCCTCTTCCAGCGTGCTGACTGGGCCTGAAAAAAAAATATATATATATATATAATGAAATGAAAACTTTCGTTATTATTGAGTTAAGAAACAAATTAAAATAAATATATAGAAAAAAAAACAGTATAGGGTCAAACGTAAGAAAAGCAAGTAGTTCGGACATCCTGGGACTGATGGTACACGCAGTAACTATAATTAATGAACCTGATACGGCAGCGTCACCTACAATGAAGCTTCTTTCGTTAAGTAGGCCCATCGTGGATTTTAGATGTTGACGACAAAATGTTTACATCTATTATCAGTATCTTCTCTTTTTTTTACATGAATAAATCATTACTTTTCAAGTTACTAAGAAAACAGGCGAACAAGTGGAACTGACTATATTATTAAAAGTTTGGAGATGGATTGAAGCTTTTATTAATGTCAAAGTGGGTTCCTGTGGCAGGATCATTTGTATTGTTGGATCTTAAAAATATTAATACAATATGACACTGTTTACTTATATTGTTGGATCCTAAAGAAACTAATACAATAGAACACACTGTTTACTTATATTGTTGGATCCTAAAGAAACTAATACAATAGAACACACTGTTTACTTATATTGTTGGATCCTAAAGAAATTAATACAATAGAACACACTGTTTACTTATATTGTTGGATCCTAAAGAAATTAATACAATAGATCACACTGTTTAAGTTTCTTTAGGATCCAACAATATAAGTCCAACAATATAAGTAAACAGTGTGTTCTATTGTATTAGTTTCTTTAGGATCCAACAATATAAGTAAACAGTGTGTTCTATTGTATTAAACAGTGTGTTCTATTGTATTAGTTTCTTTAGGAACTTATATTGTTGGATCCTAAAAAAATAATACAATAGAACGCACTGTTTGCTTGTTTATCTTTAACAAACATCACATGAAGAAGGGTTTAGGGCCGAAACGTTGTACCATATTAAAGTTTTCCTACATTGTATTACCATTGTATCTAGTGTGTTTCGTTTTCTTTCCCAAACTTTGCTTATCTTGTTGAATCAACCAAGAATCTCGAAGAAAGTAATACAACGTAACTGTTTGCTTATTTTGTTCGTTCTTGCAGCCCTAACATGCTGATGTTGCTCAATGACAGGCGACGTTTCGGTAAACCTTGGCGTATACAGCATGCGATTTGTATTACAAAGCCGACGCAAGTGGTTGAGGTGAAAAAGAACTAAGAAGTTTAGTCGAGGTTTTCAGTACCTACCGAAACAAATGCATTTTGAAAGACGACATAATCTGTGTGTAGATGCCGTAAATACGACAATACAAGTCTCGTACACTTCGACGGTAAACATAAGCCACGAACGACCGTTTCCAAATTATTTATCGGACCTTCAACGGGTGCGTCATTTCTTTAAAACTGAACCAGCTGTAAGCGAGGATAACCCCACCACCCTTAACTGTGTATATATCGCAGGATTGGAAAGTGAGTATGGAGTAATCCAAAAAAATCTCATTATCTGGAACGTCTGGACTTTATTCACAAACATATCGGCGGATTACGGGTTCGAACAACTAATGCAGGAAAAGCCATCATTTATTAGATCACGCTCGTATTATCTCTGTACAGACGCCTCGGATATGGGAAACTTTCTCAGGGAAACGTCGAACTTTTTTCAAAGAAGTTTCACCTACAAGGTCATAGGTTAAAACCAGGTCATAGGTTAAAGCTTTATCAAGGATTTCCGCCGCGAAAAGGATACATTCAGAAGGTCAGTATTTAAGTAATAATAAAGTTTGAAAATATTGATATATATATATACACACACTACTGTGGATATATTCAGTGACCATCGTTCATTCTCCTGTGCAAAAAGTGACCATACGGTGATAATCCCAATATGAAATCTCTTTAACAGCCTGATATGGCTAGGTGGTTAGAGCGATCGACTCGCAATTTGTGGGTCGCTAGTTTGAATCCCGTCACCGCACATGCTTGCCGTGGTGACGTAATAATGAGTTGATCAATCCCACTTTTCATTGATAATAGAGTAATCCCAGTGATGGCGGTGTTGATTAGCAGCTTTTCCTCTGGTCTTTCGCTTCTACATTAGCGATGGCTAGCGCAGATAGCTCTCGAGCAGCTTTGCGCGAAATTCAAAAACAATCAGATAAAAAAAAATCCACATTTATTTAAATATCTTCCAAGTCACGTGCTTGATTTTAGTGAATTCTAAAAAAAAAAATGAAATATAAGAATGGCAGAATTTACAATAAATTCTGGTTAAGAAGTTAGCACACAGGAACACATCCAAAAGTTGTAATGGTTTACAAACGAGACCCAGAACTCGAGCGCTTCTGAATAGTTCACTGTTCTTCTTCAGGAGAATAAAGGGTATCGAAACCGAATTTTTAGCGTTATAAGCCTTCAGACTTATCGCTGAGTCATTGGGGGGGGGGGGATCGGTTTAGGTAACATGGTCACACAAGATATCAAATAATTAAATTCTAAATTTACTTTCTTTTTTTTCTTCCGGACATCATCAAGTTCTGAAAAACCTGCACTATTTTTAAATACTTAATATTTAAAATACATCGAGATGACTGTTTCCCGACTGTATATCATCATGCTTGTTTAACTTGATAAACAATGATAAACAGTTAAATGTTAAACAGCTTGTTTAACTGTTTACAATTATATATCTTTATCTGTACTAGCAGAAATATCCGCCCTCCGGGCAGGTATAACTACTAGTTCCTGCAGAAGGCTATCGGGCCTGCGGCCTTTTCTAAAACTGTCTGACAGTTCTACAACAATGTACTCATACTTCACTTGACATTCAGTAATGTTCACCATTCACGAGAAAAGGGATTTTATTAAAATTTTAGTTTAGAAATGAGCCATCATCACAGCATTACATCACAGAGTAGATTTTATTGAAGTATTTCTTTGTAGATGTAGTTATCAATAAAAGTGCCTTGCTTTTTTCTGTTACAACACTCATGAGATTTTCACTAAAGAAAAACAAATAATTTTGTTCAAGTTAGTTTTTGATTGTTTTATATTTGAAATTTCATTTTTGGGGACATTTCAATTGTTTTATTTATTGCTCAGCTATAAAAAAATACTGCCTAGTTATAAAAATATTACCCAGTTATGATTAGTAATGATCGGTGCGGTAGTTTCCGAGTTTTGGACGTATACATCGCAAGCCCTATTATAATAAGATACCCACGCACACACGTGGATATCGACCTGTTTATCAGTATATGCGCGTGATCTTGCATACGATTTTTATATTCAGATATTTTATTGTCTTTAGTAGTGTTTAGGATATAGTGTTCCTCAATTTATCACCCTTAAGGGAAATCCATCTTCGTCCACACATAAAGAAAGACGTTACAAACATAGGCGTTAAGAAGAAAAAAAATACTAACAATTTTTATCATTGACTTAAGAAAGACAAAATTCGTCATGTTTTCGTATTATGAATTTAAAAAAAAACTATTTTATTAGTATACTTTTTAACCCCCCCCCTAAAAAAAGTACCTCAGACTTATAACCACGTTTCGATACCCATGGTGATTAGAGCACAGACGGCCCATTGTGTTGTTTGTTTGTTTGTTTTTTTAATTTCGCGCAAAGCTACACGAGGGCTATCTGCGCTAGCCGTCCCTAATTTAGCAGTGTAAGACTAGAGGGAAGTCATCACCACCCACCGCCAACTCTTGGGCTACTCTTTTACCAACGAATAGTGGGATTGACCGTCACATTATAACGCCCCCACGGCTGAAAGGGCGAGCATGTTTGGTGTGACGGGGATTTGAACCCGCGACCCGCAGATTGCGAATCGAGCGCCCTAACCACCTGGCCATGCCGGGCCGGGCCCATTGTGTGTAGCTTTGTGCTTAAATACACACAAATCAATAAAATATAACTTTTAACGCTAATAGCGCTGCCTAATAATGTGAATTTGGGTGTTACTGAACGTATTCTATTCTTGTTTTCTTAGTACAAAGCTACATGTGAACCTCAAGGAATCGAACTCCAGATTTTAACTTTGTAAGTCGTAAACATGTTCTCTAAGTACAGCTTATATTTATTTATAACTTTTTTCCATGGCTTTTAGCCCATTACACTTTAGGCTTAAAGCATAAAAACACACACTAAAGTTTGTCGTTATTTTTCCTTTACGATTACAGTTGTTTTAGGATTAGCGTTAAGTAACCATCCCCTCCAACACAAGACAGACACACACACATAAGTCTGTTCTGAATAAAGTAAACAGTACAAAATAAAAAAAGGAGGGAAACTAGGCTGACGTATGTCTGACATTCCAGAGAATGGTACCGTAGCTAACATCAGTATTGTAAACCGGGAACGTTTGTTTTATACCGAGAATTGCCAAGTCGAAGGATGATTCCAGGTACGTTTTAGTCTCTTGATGCGTATTATACGTACTCTTTAAATCGATAGAAGTTTCTTGCTTTTCATAACTTCACTATATTCCTTCTTGTTAACAAGATTATAGATCACGGCTACAAGCGTTAGAGGGATTTATTTCCTGACGTATAGTCTGTTCTATAGAGATGAGTCACATGTGCTTTTGAAACAGTTTTGGTTTTGTTTGTTTATGGAAATGTTACTATAAGGCTATCATTTTCCGCCATCCCTAAATCTCAAGTAATGCTGGCTCTGGGTTTTCTCTGCGTTATTCTTCTCAGTGCGAATCTATAAATGCCATACCAGCAACTTTGTTGTTATCTAGTTTCAAAAAGTGGATCATCGGTGAGGTTTTCTTTAAAGAATTCGTTAGTTGTAGGACACTTATAAAACAGTCTTTGGGTTTTTGATTTTACATTAAGAAGGTTTTCAACAACAAATATGATTCTTAAAGCCCAGAAGGCTAAAATATTTGAAATCAAAGTATCACAAACACTTGTTTGTATAATTCTAAAAATATTCAATCTCTGACTTCAACTTGTTTGTTGTTAAGCACAAAGCTACACAATCCCTGCTGTGCCCACCGCAGGTATCGAAACT